GAACTCCCGGAACACCTCGTTCATGAAGCCCTGGAATACGGAAGGTGAGTTGGATAGGCCATATGGCATAACGCAGTATTCATAGTGTCCGGTGGGCGTGATGAAGGCAGTCTTCCACTCGTCACCATGACAGATCCGAACGAGGTTATAGGCGCTTTGCAGGTCCAGCTTGGAGAAGATACGAGCTCCACGACGTTCCTCGAGGGCGGCCGGCACCAGTGGAAGGGGATATGGATACATCACGGTTTGGGAGTTGAGGGTCCGGTAATCAATACAAGGCCGCAAGCCTCCGTGCTTCTTGCCCACAAAGAAGAAACTTGAAGCGGCCGGTGATGTGGAGGGCCGGATGAAGCCTTGCTGGAGAGCCTCCTTAATATACTCCTCCATTGCTCCAGGATGGACAACGGGTACACCCTACCCTTAGGTAGTTGAGCTCCAGGCAGCAAATCTATGGCACAGTCCCACGACCGATGAGGTGGTAGTTTCATTGCGGCCCACTTGCTGAACACATCCTGGAACACCCGGTATTCCCAGGGAATACTGTGTGGTTCGGGGCTCTCGATGGAGGCACAGACAGGGAGGAAACCAGGTGACAGGGGACGAACTTGGGACATACAGTGCTGCTGACAGTACTCACTCCAGCGAATAACTTCGTTGGTGCTCCAGTTAATGATGGGTGCGGGTTGGGTTAACCAGGGGCGCCCCAGGATGATTTCCGCTGTGGAATTTTCCAGCACCAGAAACGAGATGGTCTCCTCATGAAGGCACCCTATGCGGAGCGTGATGGTGGGGGAGCATAGTTGGATCTTCCCACGACCCAACGGCTTTCCCTGAATGGTGAGGATATGGGCATGTTTCAGTGGTCTTAGTTGAAGGCAGTGGAGTGTGTTACGGGATATGAAGTTCCCAGAAGAACCAGAGTCTACAAGGGCTTGCGCTTAAAGGGATTGGTGAGATGCAATTAATGATACAGTCATTCTAGTCAGGGTAGCAATTTGAGGGCTGAGCTGGATAGTACTCACCGAGGGTCGTGAGGGACGGATAGGACACGAGCGAATCACGTGTCCCTGCTCCCCACAATACAGACACAGTCCGGTGGTTATCCTCCGCGAACTCTCCACATGGGTGAGATGGTACGAATCCACTTGCATGGGTTCTGGTGCTGGAGCCGGTGAGGCGGGGGGCTGGAGCGGGGTACAGGCCAGGAGATGTTGGGAGATCTTAATAGCCTTTTGAATGAAACTCTAATCCCACGGTGTCGTCAAATATCACCATTTGAAGGTGAATGTCGGTGTT